CGATGATCTTCATTAGAGGCGTCGGGCCCAGAGGTGACAGCAGGATGGAGACGTTGCAGCGAAGCTGAGCCGAAGTTCCTGTCGAACACTCGAAAATCTTTCCGTAGTCATTGCCGGAGCCTCGAGTTGCGAAGCAGCATGCGTATATACAGTATGCTCTCGCTGTCTCTGCCTTTCATGCCGGCATCCGCTCTCGTACCAGACATTTACTTCCAAGCAGGGTCAACCCTATCGTTGGTACTTTTCGGAATTTTTCGACTCCCCTCCATGAGGCAATTTGATACGACCCCCCTCTGAGACCCAAAAAACCGATAGGTGTAATAATAGGTGCAATAATATGAAAACTAGAGGTAGCGTTTTGAATATGTTGAATCGCGCCCTGGCGATGGAGCGCGTTTGCTGATCGGAAACAGGTGACGAACGGGGATATTGAAATGTAGACGAATTTTTCTTCGTTAAATTTCAGGTACTTCGGAAGATGGAGGTGGATTTTGGTTCACAGAGGCTCAGTCTTTCTAATTATTTGTTATTAATTATTAATCATTCGACTGTCTGCGGTCATCGACTGTCTGCGGCCGCGTTGAGTGGTCGTTTTAATTGATCGCTCTCGTCATGAGTGCGCAGACCCCGCTCAATCCAAAGAAAAGGAAACCCTCCTCGCCTTACATGGCTTCAATAGCCCATTCTTTACCTGATGACTGTTCTACTCTACTCGCCGAACTTCAAGATGTCCTTCAAGAGAAAGCGCCTGAAGCGCTTCCACTTCTCGAGAAATTGCTTACTATGCTTATTCCCAATCCTAATGAGATAGTACAGGCGGAGAGGGCAAGTTCTGTTGTGATCGCTGGAGCTAGAGAAGTAGATGACAATGCCTCGCCCTCCTCCCGTCAAGCTGCTTCTGAGGAAAGCGGTGAGTAAGATTTTAGACGTGCTCGATCTCTCAAGGCAAAAAGGAAGCAGGTAAATCACGTTTGATCAAATGCGTTTTTTCGTCTCGTAGGTTTTACTTCGATACTCTTAAGAATGCAAGATTACTCAGGAGCATCCCTGAGTTCAAGAATGTATTCATCCGCAGATCTATGACCCCTTCCGAAATCGATATGGACAAACAACTCCGCGCCAGAGCTAAGGATCTCAATCAAGGAATGCCTAATGGTGAAAAAGTTTACGTGGTTTTTAGACAACAGGTTGTCAAGAAGTCTGATATTCCTGGCATCCTCAGCCAGATCAAAAAACTGAAAAGAAAACATGTCAATCCACGTTTTTCTTGTTTGCTGCTCAATTCACGAAGTTTGGTTAACAATATTCCTGAATTCCAACATCTCCTTTCTATCTATAAACCCACGGTTGCGTTTGTGACTGGAAACATGGCTTAGCACAAAAATCGAAAACAGTGAAATCACTTCAGAATTGCCTTATCTTATTGTCAGAAAAGACAGAATAGGAAGGAGAGGGGGTGGAATATGTATCCTACTTCAGAGTCAGGTTGATTTCAAACCGGTACAATTTGACGTTCCTAACCTTGCCGCAGACGTTCTCTGTATGGACATTCTGAATAATAGCCTCGACTATACTCGTTTTGTGCTTGTATATCGACCTCCAAGTCATACCCTGGCTGAGGATGTTGAGCTCTGTGACCTTTTATCTGATCTGTGTTCTGTCACGAGGAATGTTGTGCTCCTGGGGGACTTTAACCTAGATATCGATTGGTCAATCACTCATGCCCCCTCGCCAAGACAAAGCAGATTTCGCCGTTTTACCTCACTTTTCTCCCATCTTGGTCTTGTACAGCTCATTAGTGAGCCCACTTGCGGTCACTCGATACTCGATCTCGTACTTACATCCCCTGATTCAGGATCCGATGCTGCGATTGGACCTCCTTTGGGTACGTCCGATCACCACATGTGACGTGACCTTCCTGATCAATGCACCAGTTTGACTCCGCCCGCTTTCAAAGACTATTCTAGAGCCAATGTAGATGCAGTCAATTCTGAATTGGATAGGTTCAATTGGCTCGATTTATTCAATGGATATCACACCATTGACGATGTCTACAATCGATTCTTGACTGCTGTTCATTCTCTTATCGATCGCTATGTGCCAATGAGAAGAATGATACACCCTTTTGATAAGTACCCGCAGCACATCAAAATCTTTTTCACCAGAGAGAAAGATTGTTCAGTACACTTGAAGACCCCCTATTGTCTGACAGGTATAACAGAGTCAACAGAGATTTCACGTTCCACCTCAAACGTTATCTTGCCTCCAAAGAAAGGAAACTTTCTGAGTGCCGTAATATGAAGAATCTATTTTCATATGTTAGCAAGCGCTTAGGCAAGAAAAAGAAATCTTTTGTTTATATGATTCCGATGGTCGTGTTCTTACCACTGATTCTGAGAAAGACAACGTCTTGGCAGATTATTTCGCTAGTGTGTTCTCATCCACAGAAACTTTACTTGGCAGTACGCCCATTCTAGTCAATTCTGAGTGCCTCTTCGCCGATTATTGATCCCAACCTCTTTTATAAATATTTACGCCAAATCAAAAGTTCCTGCTCTTTGCCCTCGGACAAGGTTCCCGCCATTTTTTTAAAACGTTTGCCAAGAAGCTTGCCGTCCCACTGTGTCATATTTTTAATGTATCTCATATGACGGGCGAAGTCCCTACTCATTGGAAACAATCTGTGGTTACAGCTATTCCTAAGTCGCCTTCCGCTTCTACGCCTGATGAATTTATAGTATTACGGCGACACCGTGTAAAGTTATGGAGAGAATTTTGAAATCATGCCTGCTAGACTGGCTCGTCAAACATGACCTCGTCCCTCATGAGCAGTTTGGTTTCATTAAAAACTCGTCTACATGCTTGCAACTTCTTGGATGTACCCACATGTGGGTGGATGCTTCAGCGAAAAATGTCGGTGTGATGTGTTTTGATCTGATTAAGGCGTTTGACACGGTGAACCACGGAAGGCTCTTGAAAAAATGCATAGTCTCGGCATTAGAGGAGCCTTATTTAACTGGCTCAAGTCCTATCTTTCTGATCGTAGCTTTGTCGTGAATGTCCATGGTACCTTCTCGCTGAGGAAAAGCTGTCCCTCTGGTGTACCCCAAGGTGGTGTTCTATCCCCGCTTCTATTTTTGATGTACACGATGGATCTTCCATCGGCGCTTGCATTCGCCCCTGATATCAAGGTGTATGCCTTTGCTGATGACGTCAAAGCCTTTACTAGCTTTGACAGTGGCCAGTTCGCTAATATGCCAACTTTGATGAATGACGTTCTGTCCCGTATGTCCTCATGGACTCATGAATGGGGTCTTAAGCTCAACTTTGCAAAAACTTGTGTGCTTACTCTGGGTAAAAGACTGCCTCATTTTGCTATTGAGGGATTACCTCCATCTAGTATAGTCAGTCAGGCTCGTGATCTGGGAGATAACTGTATCGAGATCGATGAATTGGGAAAGTCATATTGAGGGTATAGTTTCTAAAGCTCTTCGGTGCCTCCACAGTTTGTTTAGGATAGTCAGGACGTCAGACTTGACCATCCTAATCAGGCTGTATAAAGCTTATGTTCTTCCCATTCTTGAGTATTCCAGTCAGGTATGGAGCCCTCACTCAAGAAAACTCATTGTGAAGATTGAAAAAGTGCAAATGACCTTCACAAGGCTTGTTTATTATCGTGTGTTTCCAGATCCAGGTTACCCTAGGTCCATGCCACATTACAGAATACGTCTCAGAGAACTTGCTTTGAGAAGTCTCTTATACAGACGTACGTTTGCGGATCTACAGGGTGGTCCAAAATTATGAGGACCGCGTGCGCGCGCAGTCATATCCACTTTTTTCCGATCGCTCCATTTTCATCTCCTTTTCTGTGCACTATGTGAAAGGGTACAATGTCTTCTTCCTAATGAAACCAAATTTCATGAAGTTCTCAAAACTAGTGAAATAACTACTTCACTTTAGTCAGTCCTCAAATTGAACTCACTAGGGGCTCTGGCACGTTACATCTAGCGCAGTCTAACCTATCAGGGAAGCTCTTATGAGCAACAGTTCAACTCTTCAATAAGTTTGGAACCACCACAGATGGAAAATTCGGGGACTCGAAAGTTACAGTTACCACCAGGATAATTATCAGATGCAGAAACTAGGTCTCCCCTTGTCGACTTTCGTACTCCCAAAATGAAAAAATTGATGTGAAAACCCAGCCAGACACTCTAAAGACTCCACATCTGTAGTGGATAGAAAGCCACTCGAGTAGTCTACTTGGGACTTTTACAGGACCGAGCACCCAAGAATAAAGCAAAAATCTTCTAAAAGCGATTTTTCGAGTTCGTTGCTTTCGAAGAATTGTTACAATGGAACCTCCACCTAATAGCTCTAGATTTCTGTATTTCACACCCTGGATGCAAGCGCAAATAAATGCAACACAAAAGTTTGATTCCCTGAAGAAGGCAGAGCAGAAGGCCTGGAAACATTTGGACACGCCTTAGTTGCGTGCCACCGCACGCGCCATCCCCCTCATCCGAAGGCTCGTGTTAACGGGGGAAGTGGCAGATCTCAATTCTATTCTGGAATTACTCTTGAGGTAAGAGTTACAAATAGACACAATGTCATGGTCTTCATAATTTTGGGCCACCCTGTAGTTTTGGCTTTTAGAATACTCAGAGGTGAGTTTCGTCTCACTTCTTTTACGTTCTGGCGATTCAAACCTGCATTTCTTAAAATACCATGTTTCAACATACATATATTTTTCCAGATCTATGTACCGAGGCCGGTTCTCTAATAACATTTACAGAAATTCGTTCTTCCACACAACTTAAGTCTGGTTGAAT